ACGTCGTGAGTGTGCCTTTTTTATTTTTCTTCTGTAAGAACGATGAATTGAAGAAATCTGTGTGGATTCAATGTGCCAAATGATCCGTTGAGAGATTTTAAAATGGCCACCTATAACTTTGGTCTAAAGAGGAGAGAAGAATGATATATTAAACATGGGCGCACTAATTAACCGACACTATCACCAACTGCAAATCCAACAAAATGGTAGGATCAAAATAGATAAGTTGGATTTATAATTAATTCACCTTACATTTCTTCTTTTAACATACATTGAATATATCTAATAAGATAGAGTTACCTAATCCAATCCTAAGCACTAGACGTGGACGCGACCAATGTGTACAAAATGATCACATTATTCCAATCGCTGAGGTTGCAAGTACATGGTCAATCCTTTAATTAAACAGAAATTAGCACATCCTAAAAATACGCTTATTATTTGTGTAAGATATATATCTAATATATGATATTGTTAGGTTATGAATCAGAATTGTAAATTATAAATGAAAATGTCCTCCTCTTGCACGTAACAAGAAGATAAGAGTGAGAACATCAAACAAACTAGACAACAACGGACAAATCTCTTAGGATCATCAAATATCAAACAGTTATTGGTCAAAACTGACCCCAAATCTTCCAAAATTCACACACGTATATATATATATATATATATATATATATATATGTATGTATGTATGTATGTATGTATGTGTGTGTGTGTGTGTGTAAATGCATGTGTGATGTCTGTCAATCGTAATGCCATGCACACACTTATATCTTCATATGATAACCCTAATTTATGTGTCATGTGATGTGAGTGGTCCTCTCAATTACTAGATGGAATTGGAATGTGGAATGTAGCCGAAGTTCCACTAAGGCAAAGACAACCATTTGTGAGTAGGAGTCCGAGTAGGACATCCCCCTAAAGTGTCGGGCAACTCATTCCCACTTATTTGTAATCCTCGAAATCCTGTTTTCTCTCTAACAACTAAAGACCAATGACTTCTAGTTGCATTTGTAGGGCAGTTACAACTCCAACTGCCTGCAGAATATCAGAAGGTGGATAAGCTTTTGTCATGGTTTCTTCTGTTTGGAGCTATTTGATAATTTTGTCATCCAATGGATGGATTAAGAACCTTTAACTAAGTTTATGTTTAGTTAATGATATGTTTAATGCTTGATCCACCTGCTTCTGATTGCCTAAATGTTGGTATAACATTAGTTTAGTTTAATGCCAATCATGTGATGTGCTGTGACTCACGGCTGGCCTCTCAACTGCCTCATCAAATAAAATTAAAAAAAAACACTGAGCATTACCAAAAATGTGATTCAATAAGCATGACGAGATAGGGAATAATGCAATATATAAAATTAGCATTTTTACTTGGTTAAAATTGAAGAAGTTATGAATCTGAGAAGTCAGAATAAAGGATCAACTACCCTTAATAATCTAATTCCTGATGTTTTATATATTACATTACGGAATTGTACATGACATAACATAGAAGAAGTCGAGAATTAAAATAATTGAAACGTGTCATAAGACGGGCTCATGTATCAATTCCCTCCAATGTAACAAAACAAATTAAAATGCGACTTCAATTAACATCAGAAGTTGACAACCTATAAGTACTAAGTGCAAAATTTCTGCATGGGTTACATTAGATAACATGTATCATAATCGCCGTCACTTTATTCCATCTCTTAAAGCAATTACAAGTCACAACGAAAACCCCCGCCATCTTAGGAGCGTGTTTTCTGCCATGTTTCGTTCCTTGTCGGAAACCCACCAGGGAGATCCATCATGTTTTATAACTTCTTCAGATCATAGGGACTAAAACCAATGTTTTCAAGGACTTTCACAAATACCAAAATTATTTTCGACGCATAGCATACACGAATTAAAACATACGAAATAATGCAGAAATAACGCGGCGAAACCAGGCGAAGTTACAACAAGTATTAGACATTGCATAATATTAATCCCATATGTACTTTCCAAATGTAAATAGATTGTAAAACAGAGAAAGCCAGTTCCCTCATGATCATAAACTTACAGCCATCACCATCTAATTGGCAATCCAACCAAAGCTCCATCACAATTAGCTGCAAACGTAAGAAAAGACTCGGGTGCTACAAGTTTAAAGATTTCCTCTTCCTAAAAGTGAACTTTCGGGATCATTTTGGAGATCAGATGCCCCATATAAGCACATAACTTTTTGCTTCCGGTTGTGTTTATTTTTCGGTTAAGACAAGGTAGAGAACCGAACTCCACCAGACAAGTTACTCTTCAACAACATTGACAAGTTCGTATTCGATAAGGGAGAGGTTGTTGTCTTCCTTAACCGTAAAACTGGCAGGTTCAGCAACTTCGACACGGCCCCACTTGTCCACAGCAAGTCTCATTGATCCTTTCCACATGTCAATCTTGGCATTCCTCAGGGTTATGGAAGAACCTTCTTGCATCAAGTCCACTACACAACATCATCACGACATATCAGTTAATAACAGGTAATGTGTACTGTATATAATGCAGAGGCAAAATCAAAATGAGTGGAGATACAATATACACCCAACATTAAGACATCAATTCTCAGACGTACGCTGTGCAAAAATTTATAAAGGGTTCAAAACTGTTCACCACGGATCACGCTTTTGAGAAATATACGTTACTATTCCTAATTTTAAAGATTTTTTTTCTCAGTTTCCTGGATGTCATTTCTTTCAACGCCCAGGCAGCCACCTTCATTCTTATTTGTTGCTTTATCTTAGGTCTGGATTTCCCTCCTTGATTCCATTACAGGAATTTTCTTGAAGTGAGCTGTGTTAAATCTTTTAATGGAGTTTTTACTCTTGAATTACTACTAGACCCAGAACCAAAAAAACCAAAGATAAAACTGGCACCGTCCAATCACAAAGTGAATTAGATTTGCTATGTCAAGATAGACTCAAAAAGATTGGTTCAACTGAAACAGTAGCAAAAAGCATAGGTTTTGAATGGACGCTCACCCCTGCTCAGACATTACAGGAAGGTTGATCATTCAAATCTTAATTTGGTGTTTCTTTATTCTTAAGACAAACATATAGATCGAGTAAGTAATTCAAATTTCAAAATATAGTTTGAAGAAACAAACCCTAATTCATAGGGTATGCGTTTAGGATTCCATGGATCCAAACCATTGCTCCCAGTAGGACACAAGATATGCATGGAGGAACATTGAAATATGCAGAAGTAGTAAGCATTATGTCTTAATGAGCACACTCAGAAATTACGGCCATCACCTACTACACATGTATAAGAGGATCAACGTAATTCTCAATGTACAGAACTCTAGCATCTTAAGAAAATTGCAATTCAACACCCAAAACCTCAGATTATGAAGACTAAACAAGCTAAGAGCAAAAGCAAAAGCAAAAACTACACACTGAAATGTATGTAAAATATATGCTCGTAGATGGTATCACAAGCATATCCATCTATCCCATGTTTAAGACTAAGAAGACATATTGCCCCAAAACAATTTCAATAAAAAAATATGCATGTGGTTTGGAACCCAATTTATAGTTAATCCAGCTAGCAACCACTTGTATCCCCATCTTGTATCTAAAATATTGTTACCCTGGATCAAAAGCACTATTGTCAAAAGATATCAAGTAACACCACTAACTTCCTAATCACATCATCAAACATCAACTGAAAACTGATATCGGAGTGATGCAAGCAGTCACTGGCCAACTTAGTTACCAGGAACCGAAAATCCATGCCTACCAACCATGAGATTCAAATCCAACTTCTGATATTTTCAGAAAAAAGAAAGGAAAAACACTACGGGTTTTGATTAGGAGACAAAGGATTTTGATCCAGCAACCGCTGTGCGTAGATTTTGTGTTCACCAGTAAGAATAATAAGTAAACTTGAAATACACACCTTGATCATTTCTAGCAGTGAAGATAATCAAACCAGTTTCATCACCAACCAAGCATTCAGCAATTCGCGTTTGGCGTCCTTGAGGGCCATCAGCACGACCCTTCTGTAACACCATCTTAGTACTGACAACCTTTACTGTCAGAGTGTGCCCAGAAGTACTTGGGCGGAGCTGGGCAACCTTGGTGAATACTGGTTTCCTCAATCCTGGTTTTGCTTCGGCCATTGCAGCACAACCTACCCAAAATCCACACCCACAAAATGCTCAATCACTAAAACCAACACATTCAATAAGCATAATCTAAATTCGAAAATTATATGACTCAAACAAGATTCATATGACTCCAAATCAATTAATTTCTTATCTGGTTTCAACAAGGGCTTTCCTTCAAACAATCTGAATAAAAATCGCTAATTTATTTTCATTATCTACTGTTACGAAAAGATGAAGCTTCATCAAATCCTATTTTCGTCTAGATTTTCAACAACCAATCAAAAAATACAAAAAGTAAAGATTAATCATAAATTTCCAAGATTTCTCGATTTGCAAAGCAGATCAGAGAGAATATCTACGATAAACAACGGATCGGAACGGTAATTGCCCCACAATGGTCAGAAACACACTAGTCTTAAAAAAATCATAACTTTTCAAACAAAAATACAAAAAAATGGAAAAAAACAAACGATCCATTGAGTCTAACGTAAGAGAAACAAGGATCGGGTAAATTACCTCCGAGAAAGCAGAGAGACAACCTACGAATGAGAGAGATAGAGAAAAGAGCGAAGATCTAACTAAATAGAAATCCGCGGTCGCCACAACTCTCAGCCGGCTCTCTACAAACTCCCAAGTAAAAAAGGGTTATGCTTTACCAGCACTGAGTTCCTGACCGTCGATCTCTAATCCCATCAATAGATATCTTGGCCGTCCACGTAGTTTACTTTTTTCCCTTAAGTCGCGTTTCCGAGTCGCGACTTCCGTACTTTTTGGCTCGACGTTATTGGTGGGCTGTATATTAAAATCCTGCTCCTGACCACACCTTATCCGTACTTTGTTTTACCCAGCACGGACATAAAAACAAGTTAAAAACATGGCCATGCGAAGGGTAGCAGAGAAAGAGATAAGCAGTTTAAGGTTGAGGTCGGAAACAACAATGTTAACCACCACCACCGCTCTCAGTTCCACTGCTTCTCAGCTCACGTCCCCAAATCAATTTTCCATCAAATTTTCCTTCACATTCCGGGAAAATAACAACAGAATCGCGGTACCCAAAAGCTCGACTACCCAAAGATCCAAGATTTCTGCTGGTTTTCCTGCTCTGAGAGTGTCTGCCAGTTCCCAATCAGCCCCTGCTTCGGCAGAGGCGTCAAAGGTCGCGGTTGTGCCGTCGGAGATGAAGGCGTGGGTATATGGGGAATACGGGGGTGTTGATGTTTTGAAATTCGACAGCAAGGTTGCGGTTCCTGAGTTGCTGGAGGACCAGGTTCTGGTTAAGGTTGTCGCTGCGGCTCTCAACCCGGTTGACTTCAAGAGGAGGCAGGGAAAATTCAAGAACACTGACTCTCCGCTCCCGGTAATTTCGGTTTCTGGGTGTGGGTTTTCTTTCATTTGGGTCTGTTTTGAATGCTGAGAAAATATGGGAGAAAGAATCCTAATTTGAATTTGGACTGTTAAGTTTGACGAACAAGAAAACTTTTTTTAACGTATGTAGGGTTGGTTTGGTGTTTAGGAGTGACTGGATTTCGATAAGTCACGATATTCAAGGTATGTCGAAGGAAGAAATGAATAAACTTTGTCCGACTTGCAGGAAGTTGATGGAATACACACATAGGAAATTTATCACTTTCAATTCTCACAAAGTGAAAAATCATTCTCCTCTACCTGCAATATCCCTCGAATTTAATGAGTTAGGCAATCCAATCCTAAGAACCAGAAGATCCCATAAAGCTGTGAATTGTGGTTGTGTGTTTTGATATCTGGAATTTGTGTTGCTCTCAGAATGTTTGTTGTGATTATTGAGATTGGAAGATTGATACTGAGGAAGAGTGACTGGAATTATGGTTTATTTTTACTTGTCAATTGAAGTGGATAAAGAAGAAAAGTTACTACTTTTCCCTTAATTTTCTATATGATACTGCTTGTGTCAGCTTCATTCGAATGACGCTATAAACTCTAGGGCTAATTCACTTTGTTTCCCTGCAGACTGTTCCAGGCTATGATGTCGCAGGCGTGGTGGCGAAGGTTGGCAGTAAAGTGAAGGACTTTAAAGAGGGGGACGAAGTGTATGGAGACATACACGAGAAAGCTTTGGAAGGGCCTAAACAATCTGGCTCTCTTGCAGAGTACACTGCTGTTGAAGAGAGGTTATTGGCACTTAAGCCTAAGAATCTGGATTTTGCTCAGGCTGCTTCCCTTCCTCTTGCAATCGAGACAGCTTATGAGGGTCTTGAAAAGACCGGGTTTTCTGCCGGTAAATCTTTGCTTGTTTTAAATGGTGCTGGTGGAGTTGGAAGCCTGGTGATTCAGGTACCAATTCATTCTCTTCCGCCCGTGATTGCAAAGTGAAAGCATTGCTTGACAAAATCATATGTTTCCTTTTGAGTCACATTTGTTGGTTTAAACTCGAAACAGCTGGCAAAACATGTATTTGGAGCTTCAAGAATAGCAGCCACTTCGAGCACCGGAAAGCTGGAGTTGTTGAAGAGCTTGGGCGCTGATTTAGCAATCGACTACACTAAAGAGAATTTCGAAGAATTGCCAGAAAAATTTGATGTCGTCTATGATGCTATTGGTAAGAGTTTCCATAACAACAAGGGCTTTTTAATTGCAGTAGATGAGTGTGTTATCATGATTATGGCCACAACAAAAGATGACAAAAATTTAGAATTACAATGTTCGGTTCATTCAAATGAAAATGTCATTTTTTTCCTCGTATAACTTGATATCAATCCAAAAAACGATGGCTACTAGTACAGTAGTCCTTATAATTCTGGTCATTGATTCAGGTCCGTTGACAAATCATCGAGCTCAGCTATTGTTTCTGAAGTTTGATCGGAAAAAAATGTGTACTAACCTAATAGCAATAGTTGTTCATTTTGAACCTAGATCTGAGAGCAACTTCATTCCCCGTTTTATAATGGCAGGTCAATGTGATAAAGCAGTGAAGGTGGTGAAAGAAGGTGGCAGTGTGGTTGCCTTAACAGGTGCAGTAACACCTCCAGGTTTCAGATTTGTAGTTACTTCTAACGGTGCAGTTCTGAAGAAATTAAACCCGTATTTGGAGAGTGGGAAGGTGAAGCCAGTGATAGACCCCAAAGGGCCCTTTCCTTTCTCCAAGCTTGTGGAGGCTTTCTCTTACCTTGAAACAAATCGGGCCACTGGAAAGGTAGTCATACATCCAATTGAATGAGAAGGAAAACAGAAAAAAGTTGAGCCATTTTTTGCTGTGTATTATGAATGTACTCTCTCTCTCTTTCTTTGTAATATGTATTGTATTATATTGGCAAATAAGTAGATGTTCTTTATCAATGCAGAAAATCCAACTCCAAAGCAGATTACTGCCTACCCTCCTCGCTTGAAGCGATTAGAAAATTAACAAAGTCTGTCGAAAGTGAAGAGACTTTAGATACCCCTGACAATACAAGGGAAGTTTATTGTGTATGAAATAAAGAGGCACACATAGCAGGAGTAATAGAAAGAGCCAGCGAAGTCCCAAATTCGACTTGAACTAGAACTCAGCCGGTGGATTATTTACGCTTAAAAAGTAAAGGATGATGCTGAATTCGGGATTACGAGGTCCATATGCCTGCTTCGTCTTGATCTGATCTTTCTTGCAGAATTTTTTGTCCCACGTACCTACCAAACATCATGTAGAATCTCTTAGGGTGGCTTGCTGGTGTAGAAGGGAATGTGGAGGAATCAACAACGTGCAGTGCTCTGATCCCCATAGCACGTAAATCACCATCAACCACCTTCCCAACCTCTTATAAGCCTATGCAAGGTCCTTCCTCTCATCAATGTAGGACTCATTCTTAACACACCCTCTCATGTGTGGCAAATTTTCGAGCCTAAAACGTGGACAACACAACGGGGTGATGTGAAGCACATGTAGCCGTTGGGTTTCACACGTGGGACAACTTGCTCTGATACCATGAAGAAAGTTGGAGTTTTACCATTTAGCAATACGTGGAGTAGTCCAATCTCTTATAAGCCCATGCAAAGTCCCTCATCCCATCAATGTAGAACTCATTCTCAACATGGTAATGCCAATATGAAGCTACTAAATCTTGACAAAATGTTTCGAAGGATACATTTTCTGCTTGGTTCTTTGGCAATGGTACTCCCACAAAGTTGAAACCTTCTATACCCGGCAAATGTTCACCGGCTTTGTATGGTTTAATGCTTCAGTCCTTAATAAATCCCCAATTTTTTCCATGACGCTAACACAATTAGCAATGCTAGAAATTGGCTACAGCCTGGAGTAGGAATGTGAGCGAAGGTCGAATTTACTACCATCGGACAAGTAAAAAGGCTATAGGCTGGAGTAGAATTTGGCAGGCTCGAGATAGAAGAAATCATTTGTAATGGAAATTGTTATTAGTACTTCAAAAATCTCATTTGACACTCCAATATATTAAGGTTCCTAGTTCGATTACAATAAATTAAGGGTTTTAGTGGACGTGGAGGCACAATGTTAACGAAGTTACGAGGATTGTCATATATAAACTCCCTAGTGTAAGGATAGTCAGGAACAACTGAGATTTTCATAATTGATAAGTAAGACTTTGGGCTAACACCACTAAGTAGTAGAAGTTGAGGGGTGCCAATTGTCTTTGAACTTGATATAACTTCTCACCACCGATGTTACCTAGATTAATATCGATTTTTACGCATATATTAACGAATTTTTCAGTATTGAGCTCAATATCGAACCGTTGGTCCATTTTCCACTGGGATATTGATTATAACTTTCTAAATAAACAAAACAGATTAAACCGCAACGTATTATTAAGGGCGTTTTAATTTTTGTCATTATATGAGTTCGAATCAAATTTTTAATATTTTAATATAATAAAAAGGACACAAATTATATAATTACTTAACTTTTATTAGCAATAATGACAAAATAATGATAAAATGAATAATGTTATTCATACCATATTTTTATATCACATTTTTATATCACCTTAGGTGGCATCTGATGTGGATAACTATATCATTTGAAAAATTTGCAAAACCCAAAGAAAGGAAGGAGAAAAACTCATCAAATACCACAATCATAATTTAATTAACTAGTTTTTCTTTATTATTAGTTTATTAAATAATGAACTAAATTTAAAAATCTGATTAATTTAAATGATATGGCTGTCCACATCAAATGCCACCTAAGGTGGTATGAAAATGTGGTACAAAAACATGGTATGAATAACATTACTATGATAAAATATATAGAAAAACCTGATAGTTGACCCGCACACGCACATACCACAGGTGTGTCCCTGACAGCTGACGCGCACAGACCATGCGTCGTTCCCTTTATTTTCCACTTAAAGAAAAGAGAATTGCTATTGGCACTCCAAAATTCTTATTCTACACTTCAAACTTTCTATATTTAGAAAGAAAAATACACTTGTGAGGATTGTATAATGAGATTTTTGGAGTGTCAATAATACTTCCCTAAGAAAAAAGATATAATTAGTTGCCTAATCGTAAATTGGCATCCAATAAAAAGGTGCATGGCATAGCATGGGGAAATGGAAAGAGCCAAACCCCAATCCCAGTTGAACCACAGCTCATGGGTTTATTATTACTTAAGTTTAAAAGGCACAGGATGATGCCGAGTTAGTGAGTTTCCCCAAGTTGACCTTTCTTTCAGAATTTGAAGTCCCACGTACCTGCCCAAATGCAGAAAAATTGAAAGAACTAATCGAGCAGCAGTGGCATAGAGTTTGTTATTAAGCAAGCCATTCAACCAAAAAAAATATTGACAACTGCAAGTAAAAGTGTATCACATACCTTCCCAACATCAAATAGAATACCTGAGGGTGGCTTGCTGGTGCAGCAGGAAATAGGGTGGCATCAGCAACGCGTAATCCGTAGATCCCATTAAGGCGGAAACTGCAGTCAACCACCTTCCCGACAAGGCATCCACCGTGGTAATGCCAATACGAGGCTACTGTATCTCGACAAAATGTTTCGAAGGATGCATCATCTGTTTGGTTCTTTGGCAATGGTTGTCCCAAAAAGTTGAAGCCTTCCATGCCCGGCAAATCTTGGGCTTTATATGGTTTTAATGCGTCTGTCATTAATAAATCACCCGTATTTTTCATGGCGCTAACACAATGAGCAAGGTCCGTTGGATCTAAGAAGTAGTTGAATCTGACATTTGGACTGAATCTCACATCAGAGGATGAATTCAACGTGAGAGAACCATGAGACAAAGGTCCTGGAATTTTGCTAGGAATGTGGGTGAAAGTTGAATTTACAACCAACGGAGTGGGAAAAAGGCTGTAGGCTGGAGTAGTAAGTGGCATGCTCGAGAGAGAACATTGGTAGAAATAATCTGTAATGCCTAGAACCGTAACAATTGAGGCTTCTATTGGATTTGGAGGCACAATGTTAATGAAATTACGAGGATTGTCATAAACAAATTGCCCAACGAAAGGATGATCACGAACAACTGTGATATTCAAAGATGATAGATAAGATTCTGGGCCAATGCCACTTATTAGTAGAAGTTGAGGGGTCCCAAGTGTTCCTGCACTCAATATAACTTCTGCGTTTGCAAATACCCCGGTGAGATGTCCCGTTAGAATCACTGTATATGACTCCTGTAGCTGACAAACCTGCATTAGAGAATAGTGCATACTTAATATCGAAAAAATGAATGGAAATAGGAAATATTATTTCACATATTGAGGTGCAACATGAGTCACATGACAAACTTACCATTCTTTTTATTTTAGGCCCAATCAACCATATATATTCTAGGAAAAGCCCTCCTATTTACACTAGGTGGTTTGATAACATTTTTTAATCGAATTACAAGCATTGCCACTATACAAAATGGTAAGTTCCCTAGCCAAAGTAATTCATTTTCAAAATGTTGTCCATCATCATCTTTTACACACGGCACCAACCTCAAGAAGAAAACCAAGGTTAAAGCCACTGTCTCTATCGAAGGTCCATTGACCTCTATTTCAGATATCAAGTATATAAGTGTCACCAAAGTTCAACTTATTTATGAAAATGTCATTGCCTATTTTTTAACTTCAATTTATTTACAATACTGATACTAAACTTCAACTTATTTATAAAAATGCCACTGCTTTTTTTTTTCCTTATTATTAATAAATTTCTATTAAGTGTTTTTTATTTTTATTTTTTAATCTTAAGGGCTTTTCATTAAATCTCATATAAATAAGAAAATTAAATGTATACAATAAATGAGGTGCAAAATGCGTGCCTACTAGTTGTGGAGGGTAAAATAGGAATGAAAAATTCACTCAAATTTTGACTATGCCCTACTCAACTCATCATCCTTAAAAAGGAATGTTTTCTTACGTGGAATGTTAGGACTCTGGGTTATTAGTAATACAATGCTTATCCTTAGGGTGTTATGGTCTTTTGAATTGTATGATGTTGGTTGCATCCAACGGTCTCTGAGTGATGATGTGTTACAATCGCACGCACTTTTGCTTTAGGGTTATATATGAAGCAGCTTCTACCATTTGGGGAGGTTATGAAATGAAAATCAGAATGTCTTAGTTTATTTCTTCTTTCCTTTCCTTTTGTAGCTTTCCCCTTGGTTCGATCCTATCATCTGGTATCAAGAGCAAGGTTGTGTTGTTCCATGGGCAAAAGCAAAGCCTCCGTGGTCGTGGCCGACGTCACGGAGGCTGATCTTGAGCTTGAGTATCAACAACACCAAATCCTTGAGCAGCTCAACGGATTCCATGACCCCGTGTCGTTGTTGGCCACCCGCCAGGAGTCCTTTCAATCCCACTTGATGGATATTCAGGCAACCTTGGCCAACATCAGCCTTGTTTAATCCCATCTTATGGAGGAGCTCCGGTCCTCCCGTCCACCACAGCCGCCACTTACCCCAGTCTCTCAGATCCCAATCAGTTTTCTCCACATTCTGATTGGCTATGCATCCACCCCCATACCCCACCCTCCCGCAGCCGTACCTCCCCTTACTTGGGGCTCTACTTATTCCAAATCCCCTCACCTCCCTTACCTACCTTCCCCCATCACCGGCTACCCCCATGTTTCTCCATAGTTCGCCACCTCCACTACCGCCCTCCGCCCTCAGCCCCCCTCCATTTCCCCCACACCCACCTCACCCCACCCTTCCTGATACACTCTCCCCTTCCACTCCCTCCAAATTCATGAAAATTGAACTCTTCCGTTTCTCCGGCGACGACCCATATAGCTGGTTAGCGTTGGCTGAGGAGTACATGGACTTCCATGGGGTCAAACCCCACAACCGGGTCACAGTGGTGGGCTTCCATTTCACGGGTGATGCGGTTTTATGGTTCAAGTGGTATAAAATGCATGTGGGGTCAACCTTATGGGCCACCTTTACCGAATGCATCATCCAACACTTTGGGCCGGGTGATCAATTGGACTTTAACATGTCCTTCTCTCATGTCGCCCAAAAAGGCTTTTTAGAGGCCTATGTGAATGACTTCATCTGTTTATCTTGCCGCGCCTAAGGATGGACTGATGCACAGCTCCTGAGGGTCTTCCTTAGTGGGCTTAAGTCGGACTTACAAGATGATGTCCTCGCACTGGGCCTTCATTCTTTGGCCCGCGCTATCGAACTTGCCCGTATCTACGACAACAAGCAACAACGGCGCCACACTTCTTTCCGCCCATTCTCTCATAGCCCTTCCCCAGCGGTCTCGGCAGCTTCCTCGCCGGTGGCTCATTCTTCCCCCAAACCACATCCCTCTTCACCGGGCCGACCACCGCTGCGCCTCTCTCCGGCCGAAGTCCGTGAGCGCCATTCTCGGGGCCAGTGTTTTTATTGCCCAGAGAAGTATTTTCCTGGCCACACTTCTACGACCCCCCACTTATTATTGTTAGATGCTGCAGCCGTCTCTGAAGTTACCTCCGACTAGGTCCTCGACGACATTCCCCTCGCTCATGCCGAACCCTTGCTCGCCGAGGAGGAGCCCATTGCCTTCAACGCCCTGGTCTCACCCAAACGTACCCAAGGACGTGCTATGCGCCTTGTGGGGTACAGTGACATGTTGCCCATCCGGGTCTTTGTCGACTCCGGTGCGAACCTTAATTTTCTCAGCCCCTCGATTGCGAGGCATCTGGGCCTGCGCACCAATCGCTCTCTGGTGGAACCCGTGGCTGTTGCTAATGGGAATATATGTTATACCCACGACATCGCTTATAACTTTACAGTCAACCTGTAGGACTATACATTTTCCTCTGACATCCGCTTGCTTGCGGTACAAGGCTGTGATTTGATTCTCGGGGCCGAGTGGTTAGAAACATTGGGTCTTATTGGATGGCATTTCAAGCACAAAGTCATGAAGTTTCAAATTGGAGGCCATAATTATCGCTTGGTGGGACTCCACTCTTCGGATTCTCCATCACCGTCTACATCCTCCAGGCCACACATCGACTCCCTTCTGGCCTCTCTTTTGCGTGCTTCTTCCCCAGCCGAGGTGGTCCACACTATACCGCCACCACTCACCACCCTTTTGGACAACTATTCAGATCTCTTTGCTGCTCCAACGGACCTCCCTCTTCATCAGGAATTTGATCACCGCATCACATTGCTGCCGGGTACTCCACCAGTCAATGTTCGACCTTACCGCTACGCCCATGTTCAAAAAACAGAAATGGAAAAACAGGTAGAGGAAATGCTTGCCGCAGGCCTCATACGACCCAGTTCCAGCCCCTTCTATTCTCCCGCCCTATTGGTTCACAAAGTCGACTTGACTTGGCGCTTTTGTGTGGATTACAGGGGCCTCAATCAAGTAACTGTCAAATTTCCTTTTTTGGTTCCGATCATCGATGAGCTTCTTGACGAACTCAGGGGTGTTAAGGTCTTTTCTAAATTAGATCTTCGCTCGGGCTTTCACCAAATTCGTATGTATGAACCGGACATTCCGAAGACAGCTTTTCACACCCATGATGGGCATTTTGAATTTGTGGTCATGCCTTTTGGCCTGTGTAATGCGCCTTCCACGTTCCAAGCCCTCATGAACTCTATCTTTAAGCTTTTTTTACGTAAGTTTGTCTTGGTTTTTTTCGATGATATCATCATCTTTAGCCCAGACTTACCTACTCATCTCTCACATTTAACCTCTGTCTTTGATGTTCTGAGATCACATGCTCTGAAAGTGAAGCAATCTAAATGCTCATTTGGCCAACCTACGATGGCCTACCTTGCTCACATAATCTAGGCCGCCAGTGTCGCTGTGGATTCTCAAAAGGTGCACTGCATCATGGAGTGGCCTTAACCCCGTACTCTCAAAGCCTTGCGTGGGTTCTTGGGCCTTGCCGGTTATTATCGGAAATTTATACGTCATTCGGCCATCTCGCTCGCCCTCTCACGGATCTCCTGAAAAAGGATAATTTCGTGTGGACTCCAGCGGCTGCTCAGGCTTTTGTGGATCTCAAGCAAGCTCTGTCCTCCACCCCTGTCTTAGCTCTGCCAGATTTATCCCGCCCCTTTATCGTGGAGTGCGATGATTCTGACGCCGGCATTGGCGCTGTGCTCTCACAGGACCAGCACCCTATCGCCTTCCTCAATATGTCACTATCCGACAAACATAAGGCTCTGTCCGTTTATGATAAAGAAATGCTCGCCATTGTGTTCGCTGTCTAGAAATGGCGTCCCTACCTGCTTGGGACATCCTTCAAGATTATTACAGACCACCAAACGTTGAAACACTTCCTCAACCAACGCATCACCACCCCTACTCAACAGAAATGGCTTTTAAAGTTGTTAGGCTACAATTATACGCTGGAGTATCGGCCGGGGGCAGCAAATACAGCAGCGGATGCCTTATCTAGGCAACATGAAGGGTTGGCACTCATGGGTCTCTCCCAGCCGATTTTTGACTCCATCTCTGAGATCCAAGCCGAGTACAACACGAACCCTGAGGCTGCACAGATTCTCCAAGCCTTACAACATCATCAGCCTACCCGTGTTCACTTCTCTCTTCGAGGAGATCTCTTATATTATAAGGAGGGTATCTTCGTGGCCTCGTCGTTTCCTTGGCGTCATCAAATTTTGGCAGAATTCCACTCTTCTCCTACTGCAGGCCACTCCGGGTACCTTCGTACATATAAACGGGTTCTTCGCAATTTCAATTGGCCCGGCTTAAAGAAGGCAGTCAAGACTTATGTGGCTGCCTGTGACACTTGTCAGCGCATCAACTATGAGACTCTAAAACCCGCAGGCTTGTTACAACCACTTCCAATCCCCACTCAACTCTGGACAGACATTACAATGGACTTCATAGAGGGTCTTCCTTCCACTCATGGTCGTAACGCCATATTGGTTGTGGTCGATCGTCTCTCCAAGTATGGCCATTTCATACCCATTAAACACCCATATTCTGCTGCCAAAGTTGCTGACATCTTCGTCCGGGAGATTTTTCGTCTTCACGGCATGCCTGCTACTGTGGTCAGTGATCAGGATCCTGTGTTTATCAGCCAGTTTTGGGACTCGTTCTTCAAAATGCAAGGTTTTAAACTCTGCCGCAGCTCGGCTTACCACCCTCAATCCAATGGGCAAACTGAGGTATTAAACCGCACCCTCGAACATTATCTTCGCAGTTTTGTGGGTGACAAACCAACATCCTGGGTTGACTGGCTGCCATGGCTGAATGGTGGTATAACTCCACCTTCCATTCGGCCATCAAGATGTCCCATTTCGAAGCTGTCTATGGTTATCCCCCACCTCGGGTTCCATCGTACCTACCGGGTTCCTCTCCAGTTCACCTGGTTGACACTACTCTCCGTGATCGGGATGCCTTACTCCGCCAGCTGCGTGAGAATCTACATCTTGCCCAGGAACGAATGTGTCACTTCACCAACAAGAAGCGTTCGGAATGCGAGTTCCAGGTGGGCGATTGGGTTTTCTTATGGCTACAACCTTACCGCCAGTCCTTTGTCAGCCACACTAACTGCCCCAAATTGGCACCCCGCTTCTATGGGCCATACAAAATCCTTGCTCGTGTCGGTAAAGTGGCATACACATTGGACCTCCCCGCAAACTCCCGCATTCACCCTACCTTCCATGTCTCACTCCTTAAACCCAAGCTGGGCTCTCATGTGATTCCATCCACCATTCTTCCGCCCCTGTCTGATACGGGATTGGTCGCACGGACTCCAGAAACTATATTGCAGCGCGGCATGTTCAAACGAGGCAACCGTGTCGTCACTCGCTGGCTGATTAAATGGGTAGGCCTGCCCGACCACGATGCTACCTGGGAGGACGCCGACTCCATCATTGAACGCTTTTCGGACTTCCACGCTTGAGGACAAGCTGTTTCTTAGGGGGGAGGGTTGTTAGGACTCTGGGTTATTAGTAATACAATGCTTATCCTTAGGGTGTTATGGTCTTTTGAATTGTATGATGTTGGTTGCATCCAACGGTCTCTGAGTGATGATGTGTTACAATCGCACGCACTCTTGCTTTAGGGTTGTATATGAAGCAGCTTCTACCATTTGGGGAGGTTATGAAATGAAAATCAGAATGTATTAGTTTATTTCTTCTTTCCTTTCCTCTTGTAGCTTTCCCCTTGGTTCGATCCTATCATGGAATGTTAGTCAAATGGTTTAATTTTGGGTTAAAATAAACTTTACAATTATCAAAGATGCAACATGCCTGATTCATTGGAAGAGAAGATGATCTTCTCTACTGTAGCATGAACTGCAACTCGCAAGTTGTTAGGGTTTCCTTTATTAAGCAGTTCATCAGCTCCATGTCTCGTTCCATAATTGTCAAAAGTTGAACCGGTGACTCTAGTTCCTTTTATGTGATCTAGACTGAATCCGTTGTCCGGATCGTATCCACCAGCCTCCAAAAATGCTTCTCGTATAACAGATTGCCATGGGAATGAATTTGGCTTGTATACAATAGTGTCCTCAACCCACTCGTAAGTATTATTAACCAATTCCATGTCCCATTCAATTCCTGATTGATTATAAAATGACATGTTAGCTCTGGCGTATACTCCGGCGTTGATCATGCTCGTGCCACCGAGGAGCCTGCCTCTTACAGTAGGAATACCATCTTCAGACATGATCCTTTGGACCGGCGTTGTTCCATCATCTTCTTGTTGGAGATTATATGCAAATCCGTCTTGGGTCAAGACGTTCGGATATGATGTAGGAAGACTTTCCCCTTTCTAGAACGAGCACTGAGTAGTTTGCTGATAAAGTTGCTGCCAATGGACACCCTGATGTGCCCCCTCCAACTATGATGTAGTCATATTCATCTTCCAATGAAAAATCAGTGGCATTGCGTACGAATTTCAAGTAGCTAAAATCTGAAAAAAAATGTGAAGAGATGAACTTTTAATTTGCACGCATACATGGAGAATAAATTGTCTGCAGTGATAATATATATATATATATATATTATATATATGAGGCCTTTAAGGGAACGGATCTCCATTTTTTTATAAAAATTGGATTAGTTGTGGTGTTCACATCACATCAAACTTTAACAGTCCGAATCATCTATTTTTCAAATTGTACCTCATAGATCATCCTTGCAAAATATTAGCCAAATCGGAAATATTTAAGACTTCTAATTGGGTTCAAAGAAATGAATGAACACTTTGTTATATAAAAAACAATGAACTTTGATCTTAATAATTAAATAGACAAATGGTTTTGGATTGAATTGAATTTTTGCAAGGATAATCTATGAATCGAGACTAACAAAATAGATCTTCGGATCGTTGAAATTCGATGTGGAGTAAGCACTACACCTAATCTCCATTAAAAAAAAAAAGAGAATTCCTTTGCATAAAGGACCTGATACACACACACACCACGTCTATTTGTAGGCTGCTTTTTTCCTACGCACGTTTTTCATTTTTCCTTTTTGTTTTATCTTTTTGAATTATAGGTGAAGTAATTTACCATGATCAGAAGGGGTGGCCAACGAATGAACCTCTGATTGGAGATAGAGGACAAGAAGGAGCAACACCGATGATATTGCTGACATTATTGATTTCCCTATGTTTTCGAATGCTCTATCGTCACTGATAAGGAAAAAAAAGAAAGAAGAAGGTTTGAAAAGAGAAAGAGATATAACATTCGCTATGTGAAGCATGCATAATTAAACATATATGAAGGAATGAGAGATTACCTTAGACCAAACAGAAACGTTTGTTTTCTATAGCCAAACGACTCATTTTGCATCACAGTATAGTTTACAACTGATCTTCATCGACTTGTATAAGGCCAGGCGAGGCTAAGGAAGGGGACGGATGGAGGTCCTAAAATCCAAAGGACTTAAAAGGCCTAAACCCTCTCTATAAATGCCTCCAACCATATCCACATTGAAATATTAACGTCAAAGTTGTATTAATGGTAATATACAACACCAAGACGAATGCTCGGTGTAAAAGAGGCCACAACTGCTAGCTTTAGTTGGGAAGAGAGAGTTAATCTCCCTCCAAGTAAATAAGCCATCTAAAAGAAGAGAGTGGTTGAAAGTATCTTCAACCACGTGCTTTGTCTATATATGAGATAGTGTGTAGGAATGTAAAAGTGTGTAGAGTTAGAAACTGAAAGAAACTAAAGTAGGGTATGAAAATCTGAATTGCATAAGCTCAACTCAGTTAATATGAGTGAGTCATTGACTTCATATATATAGAGATTACATGAATACGTTTGTGACAGATTACAAGGATTCAAATTTACAAAACAACTAAACAGATTACAAAGAGATATAGATAAGCAGATTACAAAGAGATATAGATAAGCTAGGATTGTTCAGATATCCTTTGACTGATATTTGAACTGTGGCAATCTGTTTGAATAGCGGGAGCTGGGATTTCAAACATAGATAACCCGGATTGCTGACTTGGCACACTTTGCGACTTGTATTGCTGACATGGTTTATCAGAAACAAGCCTGGACTATTCTAAACTTTGAGCCAGCCTCTGAGTTTTCAAAAACACCAACCAAATCATAAAATGAATAGAAACAAGTCTGGACTTTATTGAAGCCAACCTCTAAATTTCAAAATTTATATTTATCTTCTTCTAGTATTCCAACAAGGGTGGTCAGGGGCAAAGCCACTAAGAGCCAAAGTGGTTCTGGGCCTATCCTGACTTCAGTTAAGAAAATTTCCAGCAGTTTTAAACCTATAGTTGTTGTGAGACATGAGGAAGATGGATTGTTTCTTGTGAAGAAGTTGAGTTGGACCACTTCGTCTTCTTATGATTCTAGCAGTTTTGTTGTTTTATCTTTGTAGTTTAATAAAATGATGAGTTTGTAGATGGGAGTTTTTAAGTAGATTTCAATATCATATAAACCAACCTAATCATCTATTATTTGCGGACCTCCTTTTTGCCCCCTCCCATTAAACAATTTAAATCAGAATTTTTTTGTATGTTTTTTTCTATATTTTTATATTTTTTATTAGTTACCCAACCCTCTACCTCCTATTAAGTTGTATTGCACAATTCTTTTGATTCTCTCCATTAAATTTAATAGGTCTTTCAGTTTTGTGAAGATTGCTTCAATTCCCATGTTATGAGTTCAATTTTTTTTCCATACGTGTATGAAAGGCCATCTCTCACATAAAATCCTGACTCCGCCGCTGATGGTGGTACTATATATCCATACACCTAATTTTACCTCTCATACAACTTTTTTAATTTTCAGTATCAAATAGAATAAATTGAAAAAAATCAAAAAACTAAAACTAACAAAAGGATGTAGGTGTTAAAAAAATAATAATAATGAAAATAGCTTGAAAACTTTGAGTTTTAACCAAGACAAAAAAGTGTTGTAAGTGAATAGCTCAGGAGTGACTTTTTAGAGTAAAAATGTCCTTAACGTTAAAAGTGAACAGTACCAGAAATATTTAATTAAGACTCCCTTAAAAAAATGTGTCTAAATTGCTATATCCGTCTAACAATCCATCCCTATCGGTTCCTTTCCTAGTTTAAGTGTGCCTAAGTCGGTGCCTAACTCTAGGAGAGAGTCTTTAATGGGATCCAGAAGTTTGGTAGTTGGCCAAAACTCAGTGGGGAGGTCCAGCGAGGCGAACGCATGAGGTGGCTCGTAAACTAACTTCTCTCCTGCCTGCAGAGGAGAAAAACTTTGATCCTTCCCAAAGGTGTTATTTGCATGGTGAAATGAAATATGTAACCGATTCTTTCCTTTCCTTCGGTTATTGGCCATCCACCGGGAGTTTCGGTTTTAATGGTATCAATTATTGCTTCATTGTATTTGCTTTATTAATAGGCTCATGATTCGACCTTGATTGTTATGGACTGGTACCACGATCCAGTCCAACTTTAGGTACATATCTCTTCTAAGTTATGTATAAGTATAGATAAGCCACCATATCGAACTATCTTAACAAATAGAATGAAGTACCACTATGAAGTGACTGACCCCGAAGGGCGCCCTTCCCTTTTTTTCAGGATTGTTGAGGCATTCTCTTAACTTAAAACAAACTATAATAGTGCCACTGGGAAGGTAGTCATACGTCTAAAACGTTGTTACCAACTGTACGTATAATTTCTTAAATTGGTGCCTTGTGCAAAGCGTAGTAGTGAACACCCACCCACAGGCAAAATTTTCACTCTTTTGTACGAGCCTTGTGTAACTAAGACCACAATTTTGGATGGCTTTTTGATGTCTCAGATTTTGCCACGTCAGAGGATGTAAGCTCTAATTTACTAAATTTTTGTATCAAAAATTTGCCATTCACAAACCTCAATAATTCTAATCACTATTCTAAAAATCTCCACTAGCGCCGCCTAAATCCTATTTAGGCGATAGACGGTTGGCCACCGCCCCGATTAATGACTAGGTGTTTGAAAATTTAGAAATGACACCTAGACCTGATGAGGCGCCCGCCTAGACCACCTAGGCACCTGCCTAGCCCGCCCAAACACGTCTAGACACTTGCCTGACTGCAACTCACTTGGATAGAAAATAGATAACTTTCATTTTGCATTATTATTTTTTAATAAATTGTAAGAAACTTGTTAAATACTAAAATGAACACAAATTATATGCTTGTTCTCCATGTTTTCATTATGTTTCAATACTTCATAATATATATCTCATTCTATTTTGTAATTTATTATATATATTTTAAGTATAAACAGACACTTATTTACATGAAATATAACATATTTATTTAAATTCGCCTAGGTGCTAGACCCTATCCCATTGCCCGACTAGCATCTAGCGCCTTTTAGAACCTTGATTCTAATTATACACATAGTTGGAGCAGCAATTATAGCTGTTGGGTTTTATACTGTAATGTGGGGAAAAACGAAAGAAGAGGAGGCTGCAGGTGAAGAATACTCCGATGTTCCCGATAGCCCAGAATCGCCATCTGGCCTTGACGCAGCCCCGTTACTACAAAACCATATTACTGACAAGGTTTAGATCAAATAATTATCGAAAATGTGCACAACTTTTGGAATGTTACGGTCCGTTTGATACAGCTGCATATATATCACAGCTTTATAATTCTCACTCCCTACAGGACTGTTCTGATTTTAAATTCTCAAGTGCTGATGTTTAATTCACAAACTATATGCCAAAAAGAACACTCTGATTGCTGAATATTTCAACTGGAAAATGGGATTTCTTACAAATGCCCTGGTTTGCATATTTTGGTTTGAATTTCCAACAATCAATCCTACATTTGTGGCAATACATCCTAAGGTGTGCAACTTTACATTGAGTGTCTGGCCGTGTCACTAGGATGGGCAGTTGGAGAAACCCAAATCATTTAACTTTTGGACCGTCAACATGTTTGCTTAACTAGGACAGGTCTTATACGTTGAAAGTAAAAATAGCGTGGAATAGGTTTTGATGTACCGCCTTGTACATTTCTTCTATATCTCTCTTAACATTGTTCCTCCACTCTTCTTTATCTCTTCTTTCAACCACACTTTCTCTATATCTAAAGCACGAAGAATCAAAAGTTCAACGCCATAAACGAAAAACCAAATAGTCATCAAACAATATTTTAATTTTTAGTAAAAAATAAGAACGAAAATGGTAAGCAAACAACTTTTGTGTGTGCGCGCGTGTGTTCCTAATACTAGTGTTATTGGAACGCTCTCATCATATATAAGACCTGGAATACATGGTGAATTTTTTATATTTTATTTTGGTACTAAAATGGTTCTGTTTTAACAGCCAGATAATTCATTGTGAAAAATGTGGGCAACAGTCATGGCCAGGACGAGTACAATGATTTGTGTTTTAGCCTTTAAGGGATGTACGACGAGAATTCATTGCAATTCAGAAACCAAAACAGATCGATGATATCCACATATTATATACGTATTGGTCCACTGTAACTGGGTAGTTTTGTAAGATAGATATTGAAATATATGCATGCTTTCGGTTAGCTGTTGCTATAAATAAATGACGGAGTAAGATTTTCTCCTATTCTATTCTTATTCTCTTTCTTCTTCTTATAGATTATTTTTGTCTTTTTCTGATTATTAAAAAATTAATACAAAACGTTAATATGATTTAACTGTACGTAATCGTTCCAATAAGAAGAATAAAAAGCAATGAAATATTAAAAGGGGGAAAATCCTCCTCCATGAATAGCTACTCTGAAGCCTCTCAAACGGTGATTGATTATTCCACATCAGCTGGACAGTTTGCTTTTTATAGTTAATTTATATATATTTTTCTTTTAATCCTTTGCGATATAACAGTGGAAGTTTTACAGCGGTGTTTCATCAATCAATCTCTGGGCAGCAGAACATAAATGTTGTACCAGAAACATGCACGGTATATGGCTTTATGATTAGTCTCCTGATGATGCTCCAGCTAATTGTTTGAACAACAATTTACTGTGCGTTAATTGATCATGACTTAACAATGATCAACATCCAATATATATCAATCGCAGTTTATAATCTGACAAGAATGTATGAAATGAGGTCACCATTACCAACCAGAGTGACGTATCTCTTCGACCAAATAAAAAAAAGTGACTGTTAATTAGTCACACAATTTATGTATAAAATTTGAAATTTAAGAGCACTCCCAAAAGATGTGCTAAATTTTAAATATCAAAATAATATTTGATGGCTTATATGTTTTGTACAATATTTTGTTCCATTCGATAATAATAATGTCATTTACTATTTTTTTTATCTTTTTATGTATTCTAATTATTAAGGCAACTAATCAAATAATTGAAAAACATAACAAAATTTATTATATATTATATTAATTTAATAAAAAATTATTTAATAAATTTGACATCGGCTGTCAAATTTGACATCAAAAGACTTTTCCTTCAAATAATTCAACGCCACATAAAAAATTGAAGGCTCAATTGGAAAGAGTTCGTTGCCATTTTTTACAGTTATATATTTACATGACAGTTTTGACATTTTCTTTATAAATGCTCTAAAGTGTTATATTATTGGTTCGAAATGTCACCAATAATTAAGCTATGAGGAGGACTCTAGCATATTTGGATTGGCAATTCCTCCCTCTCTTTCAACTTTCAAGGTTGTGCTAGCGTGGATTGTAGAAATCAGGTTAACAAATAATAAAAACCAACTAAACATATGAAAGCAACAAAAGGGAGAAAAAATTCTTTAATACCGGATGCCAATTATCCTTAGACTACAATAATCATACTACGCGTGTAAATATCAATCCAAAATTAATTGGTATTTGGTCTCGCCTCAGTAAATTAAACTTCAATGGTAGAGCTATTTGTAATACATTTTCAAGCAAGTCACACCTTGTACTTAGTGGTAGATTCAGGATTTGAATCATAAGTGATCACAATGTTAAATGTTCAATTTTTTAGATAGAAACAGAGCGCGAAGTGTGCAAAGAAAAAAAAATTCAATTTATTAGGCATTTCGTCGAACACTTGATCAGTGATATCGAGAGAATGTTTCGAGTGTTGTCCATGCAACCTATCGAGATATGCCTAGCAGGTATCACATCAAACACTTAGTAGGTACAAAGGGACTCATACAAATATTCAGAGAGTCCTCAGAAGATATTCACATGTATAATTTATGAACTCCGAATGATCTTGAGACCACCTAGGTCCCAATGTGCATCCACCTCTGCTTGGACTAGTTTACGTGGTTTATGATATATGCTTTCTAAATGTGATCCTTGTAGCAAAAACTTCTCCAAAACTAGGCACCCCGACCAACGAATTTATGATTTCTTGGGAAATTTTTTGCCAAGTTTTTTACTGTGGAAAAAACAGATCGAGCAGACAGTACTACTACTATTATCAGAGGTGAGGGAAAACAACTGCTGTGGCGTAGCACGTGAAACTTGCCCTTTAGATTAACCAGCAGGTCAGTACAATTATTGTTACTATATGCATTAGGGTTTTTATACGGTACATGAGATACATTGATGTTTGAACTGTTAGATTATAATTATCAAAATTCAGCCATGCAAATTCAGTCGTGTACTGCACCAATACGTCCCCATATATCCGCGCATTGTGAAGTATTCGCATGCAATGCATGGTTCTCACCGTTGAGGAAAAAAAGGACATATGCAGCAGTGGAAATGAATTGTAGGGACTTGAATATTATTGTTTCTTCCTGAAACAATAATATTGTTTCTTCCCGATTTCAAATTTTCAATAATACCTCTGTATCTGTAGCCACTTGCATGGACCATATACGGAGCTGCCATGATGCTTCTTCCTGAAAACTGGTCATTTCAGTGAAGCTGCAGTACGATTAAGCAACCAAATTAAGTTATCATGTTCTTGAAATTTCATTTGTGCACTTGCGTTATTTTAGACAATCAAACAAATTAATGTTCATATTGGAAAACATTTTATGGCGTTTATGTTCTAGTTTAAGTAATAATACTATATGCAACAACAGCTTTTCCAACTCTTATGTCTTATATATCCCCACTTTCTCGTGTGAAGTGAATCCTACATAAGTCTTGCACGGTTGGTTTCTAATCTCGTAGGGGACACATCACGTAAGGCGGGAGGGTTGAAAAATTCTTAATTTGCGGTTTGTCCTTCTACTTTTGCAGTCATACTTGAACGCATGTGAAATATTAATTTTGTGATACATACACTAAACTATTTAAACTCTTCAAACTAAAAACGAAATTTGACCAAAAGGCAATGATGTTCTACATGACACATGTTATTCAATTAGCGTGACTCTTAGCTAGCTCACATATTTAAACAACAATCGAGCACATCAACAAAACTCGTTTAGGTATTTCATCCAAACAAACAAGAAACATCATTTGAAAATTAGCAAAAGGTCAACGATCGAGAAAGAACATACGCGTTTGTAGATGCTGCATTTTCTAACAGCTAGGCCACCCAAGTGGGTAGCTCTCTTCTTGGTCCTTGGACACAAGATCATGGGTGGGTGGACCACTCACGGCCAAGCTAGCTAGCTAATATTATGTATATTATAATTAAATAAGGAACCTTGCATAGACTTATAAGTAAGTTGGGCTACTCTCTATATTTTATGGTGGAACCACATTTTTCTTCATGTTATTAGAGTAGGTTGTCTTGCGTACGAAGCCCCAACGGCCACGCGTGCTCCACCTCATTCCGTTGTGTTGTCCACGTGTTAGGCTTGAAAATTTGCCATACGAGAAATGACATGTTGAGAATGAATTTCATATTGATGAGAGAATAGAACTTGTATGGGCTTATTTATTACTAGAATGCAAAAGATTTCCACTGCAGTCTGCAGTACTACTGCAAACCAGGAAATTAACAAGTTCAGTACTACATAATAATGTGTATGTATATACATACCTGAATATACATATAATACGCAAGCTATAACTTTCCTAAAAAATCCAAGCCCTCAGAGCCCTTTCGCTTGTCTCTTAATTTGTGTATTGCGAGTTTGCAACGGAAAAAATGGAAGCAGAATATGAGTACAAGAAAGGGTTATGGACAAAGGAGGAAGATGAGATTCTGCTAGACTACAAAAGGGTACATGGAAGTGGCCGCTGGAACCGCATTCCTAAGGTTACCGGTAAGACATATGCTACGAAAGTGTAGTGGTAACTTAAATTTGTATACAATATTATATTGTATATGTATAATGTTCATGAAGAAGAAAGAATATATGTAGAAGTTGAGAGCTTAATTGTGATTAATAATGATGATACTGTATCTGTGTAGGCCTGAAGAGGAATGGAAAGAGCTGCAGATTGAGGTGGCTCAACTATCTCAGCCCAGATGTGAAACGCGGCGATTTTTCTGAGCAGGAAGAAGACCTCATTATCAGACTTCATAATCTCCTTGGAAACAGGTTTCAGAGATATATATTTCTTCTATCTCCCTACTTTATTTAGCTTCATTTCTCCATTTTTCTCCCTTTGTGTTTTGGAGTATTCGTAAGACCTATATATAATTAACTCAGTGATGGATAAAACACAGCACGAGGTGTTGTGTTACTTGTGTAGATCCCATGATAGAAGGTAGCGTTAGTCCATAGAAGGTAGCGTGAGTCCAGTGTCTTAGTACTGCTAGTGGTACTTGAGATCACACTGCCATATTATTGCGAATTGGTTTTACGGAGGAAACCTTAACTTTCTTTATGGTATTAAAGTAGGTTGTCCCACGTGTTAAGCCCAATGGCCACACGTGCTCCACTTCACCCGCTATGTGTTACCCACGTGCTAGCTAGTCTTGGAAATTTGCTGCACGTGAGGAGGTGTGTTGAGAGTATCAATCTCACATTGGAGAAATGAGTGATATTGCATGTGCCTATAAGTAACTTTCTCCATATCGCCAATTGATTTTATGGTAGAACCTTAATTTTCTTTATAATGTGGTGAACAAGATAAAACTGAAATCTTCCATAATTATATTTATTTTTTTCTTTCGTCGATCGATGTTGATAAGGAATCACTGGTTTAACTACTTAATTTGTGTAAAGGTGGTCTTTGATTGCGGGGCGTTTACCAGGAAGAACTGACAACCAAGTCAAGAACTACTGGAACGCTCATTTGAGCAAAAAGCTTGGCGACATAAAAAAGCAGCATACACCTAGAAAATTTGTTGTTTCTACGTCTAAAGCTCACTCTTGTGCTACTCAAGAACTGCCAGGAGACAAACTAGTACACCAACACAAACTGCTCAAAGCGCGGGACTCGGACTCAACTTCCGGTATGAAAAGTAATAATCAAACAGCAAATTTGGATTCTAATGAAGAAGAAAAGATAGAATGGATGGCCAAGCATTGTACCGAGTCGCTTTCTTGTTCTAATTATGATAATTTGATTAGCTGGGGCATGGTCAATATTCTGCAAGGATACCCTCTTGACTATTGTAATTATAATTAATCAGAATTCGAACTTGTTCTGGTTGATCACAAGTTTGAGTTGACAAAATGATTTGTTATGATCAATAATCTTCACTTATCTGAATTTTGTGCCACAAAAAATAAGATGTAATTTTAGACATAAATTGGACTCTTTCATCCAAATTTAGAAATTTCATACGCATGAACTTTATATATTTAAGGAGAAATGATAAACATCCTCGACGAGGGATAGTGTTTTAGTGAAAATCAAGCACTCATATGGTCCTTTTCACCCATGTTGGAGGCTTTCCCACCTCATTTTCCCATTTTCCCCACGGAAACCTTCCTAACTATTGACCAAAAAGAAAATGACAAACCCACTCTTTCTAGCTTTTTGCTTCTCATATGCCTTTGTTTAATTTTGATATTTTCGTTTCATTTATTTAATATGATGACAAGAATAAAAATGAGTGTCTAAGAAATTAAAAAGTGTTGGTAAGATAATGTCTTTATATATTTTTATATATAAGCAATACATGGAGGAAACAATTGAACTCAAAAGTCAAAACCTCTTTTATACGACTCATCCCAGGATAGAACCTAATCTAATGAAGTGTCTGCCAAAAAATGCACGAGTTGCACTTGTGATGATAAAGAAAACAGTCTTGGAAACTATCCTTAGAATCTGGTACCGTCCATTACAATATGTTACATGGTTTGGATTAAGGATTTTTGTCTTTTGGAACTGTGATCCATTGACTCAAGCTTAAAGGTCCTGCTTGGACTCGTTTTGGGTTGTCCACGTGCCATAGGCACCGACGTTTTCTTTTTAAATAGTTTCTGGCTGCATTAAAATTTCAAAAATGTTATTTTTAACATATATTTATACAATGTTCTTAATAAAAATTGGGTTCATATGCGTTGACGAGTCTTATCTCGATTAAAAAAATGGTATAAATAAATGCTAAATGTAATTTACTCTCAAGATTTTATCTCCATGCATTTACTGAAGCTACTTGTGTTGCATTGGGTGTTTTTGGGCTCTTGCCACCAAATCACCATAATTTCCAACGAAAACGCAAAATGTACGGTTGGTTTACGGCTCTCAATTTTGATTTTTCATTGGTCTTGGCTTCACTTTTGAAATATTTTGTGGTTAAGTTTTTTTTAGGCAAATTATAAAGCTTGTTGGTCAAATTATCCAATGTGGTATCTGAGACTTTGAGGTCTTATGCAAAATTTATCAAATGGTCTCTTTTTAGTGAGATTAAATCTTTTGCACTTGACATGGTGTGTGGCTTCTCTGTAGCATCATTCATTGATTGACACATGTTTATGAACTTAACTTTTCTTAATTTTGTTGTCATAAATCAATGTGTGTCAAACAATAATTGGGGCCACAAAAATTGCCACATCCCTTTTGATTGTAGAAGATATTGATCTCCCTTTTAGTATAGTATTCCTAAAAAACTAAGACAATGTATTGATGCTAGAAAATAATAACTTAAATAAAATATGCCATAAAATAAACTATACTCACACTGATTATGAGTTTACAAATATTATTAAATAATAAGTGAAAATAGTTATAAACATAACCTGTACTTAATAATCATAAGTAGATCAATCTTAAACAAGCAAACAAACAAAAAAGAATTAAAAAACTCTAATATTTCAATTTCACTTGAATATACATCATCATTATTCATTATATATAAAAGTGGGGAAAAAAATCGCGCCTTTCGCCTTCCCCAAAGCCGAATTACGTGGTCGTGCCATCACGTACACAAGGGGATCCCGCATATTGTTTTCTTGAATTCCTATCTGTGGCAACACTCGGTTCTCTTTGAAGTCATATAGGGCGCTTGTATAGATTTGTTTGTGACAAGAAGTTTGCATTAATCCTTGAATAATCTCAATGTCATGTTTATTTACATGGTATGAGCATTGAATGTATACATAATTTTTTTTTCCAACGTTTACTAAAACATGAGAATTTGAACTATCCTAATATCGTGACTTCCATTTTGTTTACCACCTGTTTGTTTTTTAATAAACGACACAATCTACACCAATAGATGGGAAAGTGGGCTAAGCCTCACAATGCGCTAGCGATAATATGGTTCAAATTCGTCTTTGGCAAAAATCAAATCTAAAACTTCTCACTTATAAGTGAATAAGAATATCACTAAACTGTAATACGAAGTGGCTTTATTACAAGTAAATGTTTACCCTCACCTTAAGAATCATGAATTGGATCAACCAGAGGGGGCAATTTCTGATACCCAATGTTTCTCTTTTTCCTTCCCATTCATGATTTCCCTTGTTCCGGTCCATGTAAGCATGCCTAGACTCTTAGTCTTGAAGTTGAAGCTGTATTTCTAGTCTTGGTTTTTATGGAAGTATGGTTGCCCCAATCACTTTGAACGTGAATCATTTTGCCGCATGAAACCCTTAAGAAACCGAGCTCGACTGCAGCTGATGGATATAAAACAACACTACTTAATCTTAAATGGCATGTTTACACGAATTTTGATTACGGGATACTAGGTGTTTACTAAATATTGGGTAATCAAAATTTTGATAGGACCCACTACAATTGGGTGTTAATTGAATTCCTGGTTATTGGGGAACCGAAACGGATTTTTCCTCTCCCTTATACCCTCAATTAATTCTAAAATTCCAAGATTGCCGTTTACATTAACCCAACACCAAATTTTGTTCTCTTAGCCAAAAAAATCAATAATTAAAAAATTTGTTGTAAACATTCCTAGTTTAAGTGTGATTGTGTAAATCCTAGATTAAATTTTATTCTAGTTATCTTTTCCTATTGTATCTTGTATTCCTTGGCATAAATAAAGGCACAATGTAGGAGAGATAACAACACACATTCCCCTAAAATTCTACAAATACATCTCTCTCTCTTTCTTCTCCTTGCCGTCGGCCCTCTCTCTCCTTATCAGATAAAATAGATCATAAAACATTATCAGCACGCTCCTACCGCTGCGCTTAGGAATTTGACATTAGAGAATTTTTTTCTGCATCAAACCAGTTCATCCATATCATCACGCAATCAGGTTCTTTCAAAACAACGGTTTTTATCTTGATATTTTTACAGCCATGATAGCATAAACATTCACCATGATGCATGACCCAACTTTACGTTTTACGAATTTTAGATTACTTAAATTGTGTATGCCTCATAATTATAATTGTTGAATTATGTGAATTTGATATTTGCCATGAAATGCATCAAATATATTTGTATATGCATCAAAATTGAATTCACTTAACATATTATTGCTTTCTATATGCATATAACCAAATTGAATTGAAAAAGAAAAAAAAAAGCAAAAATTGGAATCGGGAAACCTAGGGTTTTTCAAACCCGTACCCTTGCACTATGCAAGCCGCAAGCCACCAGGCCAGCAGCCTACGATGGCCCAACCCAAACATCAAAATCCATTCGCCACCAGGCCTGCAGCCTGCATCGAGTCCTCATGAGCGCTCCAAGACCGATAACCCAGAAACCTGACGCTCTTCATGGCGTCTCCACCATCGTAGGATGGCCTGCAGCCCATCATCACACCTAGGGTCACCATGTTTGACAGCCTGAAGCTCGTCCCTAACATTAATTGACCGATATTCAATTGAAACTCATTGAATTTTTTTTCCGAAAATCCGATTAGAATTTCTAGGGTTCCACAACCAATGTCGAGATTTTTTTTTTCAAATCTCCGTTCTTATTTTTAAGGTTTTTGGCAATCCACGGACTCGTACTAAGCATCATTGTCCCAACGTCAATCGCCTAACGAGGCGTCGTCAACCAAAACCCGGCGTTCTTCCCTGGTAGTACACACATGTAGCACGACTGGGTTTGTGACCCATGATTTTTTTGGGTTTGAACCCTCCACGGCCTGTTTTTCTTTCCTCCTTAGGCTCACCTGCAGCGACCCATAAATCCTTTGGGCCCACCTATCTTAGCCCATTCCCCCGGCCTGAAAGAAAAGAGAAAAAAAACAATTTTTTGGGCTTGCTTGAAGCAACCCGTATTAGTTTTTTATTTTTTATTTTTAATTTTGGGCTTGCCTGCAGCAACCCAACCTGAGGAAGCACAAACCAATTTCTTTTAAGCGACCCGTGGGCCTTTATTTTTTTAGGCCCCGAACTTTATTTGCCTAATTATTTTAGGCCCAATGGATTTTATATTTTTTCACCCACACTTTAATTTGGCCCGAAGTCCAAATAATTATAATTGTAAACCTAAATTTTATATTTTTGCATATTTGTTTGCATAAATATTTGTGTTTGCTTGTAGGAATATATGAACCTGAAGTTCATAATTATTTTGAAACCTGAAGTTTCTTATACATGCCTTGTTTGAAAACCTGAAGTTTTTCATTTAAACACATCACCCATGAAAACTCGAAGTTTTTTCATGCAAAATTAAACCAAATCATGTCTATTAGAACCTGTATGTTATATTCTTACGTGAATTGATTGATTTTTCTCCATTACATTAAACACATTTTATTCATCTATTTTGTAATAGGAACATGTCGAATTTAAACAAACTCAACTTTACCGCTTTGGAGGTCTTTAGAAACAACTACCTCAAGTGGGTCCAAGATGTGAAGCTCCACCTCACTGCAAAGAACTTGCATCCTGCCATTGAAGAAGCAACAGACAAGCCTGTTGGCAATGCTGAAAAAGCCATTACTATGATCTTCATCCGAAGACATATTCATGACACTCTGCAAATTGAATATCTTGCTTAAGGGATCCACGTGCATTATGGGTCGTTTTAGCTGATCGTTTTGATCACCAAAATGACATATTCTTGCCTGAAGCAAGACACGACTGGCATCATTTGCGCTTCCAAGACTTTAAGTCTGTGAATGAATATAATTATGAAGTTTGTCAAATCCGATCACTTCTCAAGTTTTGCAATGAAACTTTGACTGAAGAGGATCTTCTGGAGAATACATATTCGACCTTCTCTGCTTCTAATATTGTCATGCAGCAACAATATAGAGCTCAGAAGTTTACTAAGTTCTTGGATTTGATCTCTGTTTTACTTCTCGCTGAAAAGTAGAACCAGCTGTTGATGAAGAATTATCAAGC